CTCGACGTAAAACAGGAGCCCTCATTGGTCAATTCGCAATTAAATGCCTATGCCGAGCGGCAGAGCAGTCGTATCAAGGCAAAGTCACATTCAGGTTCAGACGTGTCACGTATGTCGTGTGCATCATTGCAATTTGATATTTCTTTGGACGTTTTCGTTTGTTATCTTATTAAGTTGTTGAGTTTGTCGTTGTTATTGTTATACCTTGTTATTGATTGTTATTGTTATCAACTGCTTGCGCAAAATGCCCAGTAGTACAGATACTGCCGATGAAGTTGTAAACTCCTGTAGTCCACCTAGGAAACGCTCTAAAAAAAGACACCTGAGTGCAGAAATGAAAGAGGTCATTTTGAATATATATAAGATCGAGCGCAAGGAGAACGAGGCATCAACCATCAAAGAAATTGTTGTAAAGGTTTCTCACAAAGTTGGGGTGTGTCGCGCATCAGTGTTTAATGTGTTAAGACAATACAAAAAAAATCACACCTTTTCTGAGCCAATGACCAGAAAACATCGCAAAAGTATTGTTAAATCATTGGATGAAGCTGATAAGCATGCGATTAGGAGGAAAGTGCATGAATTCTTCTTTAGGAATGAAATACCTACTATAGATAAAGTACTGCAGGAGGTAAATGGAGATACAACGTTGCCAAATTTCAAACGATCAACTTTCCATGCGTTACTGAAGCATTTAAATTTCAAATGGAAAAAACGGGGTCGTAATAGTTTACTACTGGATAGAGAAGAAATTGTGCTATGGAGGAGGGATTATTTAACAAAAATTGGGAAATATAGAAATCAAAACAGGAAGATTTATTACCTTGATGAAACGTGGGTAAACGCAGGACACACTACAAGTAAAGTATGGGTTGATGATTCTGTAACTTCATCCAGGAGGGCCTTTCTAGATGGACTGCCCACCGGATTAAAAAATCCAGCAGGTAAATACGAGTAATAGACAACAATCGGATGTTTTTCAAACCTTGGGAACAAGGTTCTAAACATTAATTCCAGGGGGCAGATAAAACATATTACAAGTAACAAAACTTTTATAACTTTCGATAAAATGCGTGGATGTTTTATTGTCATTTTCATTTGTTAGAACTTTTTTATGTGTTTTTGATATTTCAATAATTTTTTAATATAATCTTAAAATATGTCGAATATTATAAACTTAAAAAAAGTTACTAAGTTTTATATTGTGTACCGTTCCTAATATTTCTAATCATTTTAATTCATACTTTAAGCTTTATAAAGTTATAATTTGTTAATATTAATATTTGCGCGTATTTCAGGTTCCTGATCATTCATTTTTTAAAGGTTTATAACTCTAAATTAAATTGTGAAGCGCTGAGTAATCATACGACGTTCAATATTTTTTCTTTCAATATGACTAAATAATCCCAATTATAGCAATCTGATACTCATGTCTCCATGTTTTTTCGCTGAATGTGATGAAAATATTTGAAAAAGGTTCGCTTATTGAAATAAATCTACACCAGTTAGTACTTCGATTTCCAGGTAAAGGGAAAAGGCTCATTATCTGCCATATTGGCAGTGAGGATGGATTTGTTGTTGACGGTCTGTGGTGCTTTGACTCTAAGAAAACTGGAGATTACCACGAGGAAATGAATGGCGAATCGTTTGAACAGTGGTTTTCAAAAATTTTACCGAACTTAGAGGAAAACGCAGTAATTGTGTTGGATAATGCGCCTTATCATTCTCGAAGAATGGAGAAGGTCCCAACAACGGCTTTAAGGAAAGTTGATGTTCAAAATTGGCTCCGCTCGAAAAATATCAACTTTGAAGAAGCAATGCTGAAAGTACAATTATTAAGAATTGTCAAGGATCACAAGGCGGTATATCAAAAATACGCCATTGACGAAATGGCAGCAAGTCAAAATAAAACTATGCTCCGTTTACCTCCATACCATTGCGAGCTCAATCCCATTGAGCTCATATGGGCAGAGGTTAAAAATTATATAGCTAAGCACAATACAACTTTTAAATTTTGTGACCTCAAAGGACTTTTCAAAGAAGCACTAGAATTAATAACAGCGCAAAAATGGGAAAACTGTATTAAGCACGTGAAAGACAAAGTTGAAAAGAGAATGTGGGAACTGGACAATATTTTAGAGGAACAAGTCGAGCCATTCATTATTGACGTTGGTGCTTCAGGCAGTAGCGATGATGAAAGCTCATCAAGCTCATCTTTCCAATAAAAGATGTCGTTCATCAAATTCGGTAAGTTATAAGTAATTATAAAGCTACTGTATTTTTTAATTAATTATTGACATTTTTGAACCCATTTTGGCAAAACCTATTCAAGAATCTACTTTCTGACAATGTTCAACCATGCACATTTTTTTACGTTTTGAACGTTTTAATTTGGTTACATATTTACCTAGAAATCAAAAAATATACTAATCAATATTCTAAAAGCAATTTTAAGAGATATACGATTATTTTTAATTTAGGCTAATTTAAACGCCATTTTGAGATTATATTCGACTGTATTTCACCAAACATCAGGCGGCATCCGAAGCTGGAAATCGAAGCGAAAATTTTGAAACCCTTATGTATATTTACATCATTATATATTTCTTACCCCACTCCCACATGATCCTATATCCATCACCAATCGTATACACATCGAATTGTGCTAATTTACTACAAAGTTACGCAAAGCAGCATCTACTATCTAAAATATGTACTGCGTGACTCTTAATACGTCCCTGCCGAATGTTACAGCGTTCGATGATCACGTGGTCTTGTTTATGTCCGGTCTATCTCTTATCTGAATATACTGTAGTTAATTTCTGCGAATGTTTGAAGTCAGTATAGTTCAAAACTAGTTTCGAACTGTTCTGTTGAGAAAGAGAGAGAGATGGAAATACATGACTTGTTTTTAATATGGCCTTCATCCATTGTATCGGAAGTTGAGAGTATTGCATTTCAAACATTGAATTAACAAAGTTTATGTAAGCTCCCGCGTGTTAGTTTCGCACCAATACCGAATCAGTACGAAAAACTGCTATTTCTGAAATTAGTTTTAACTTCTTTCAGAACGGAAATTTCTAACTGCGCATGTTCAGCTCGGAGCTAATTCGATAGATTGTTGGAACAAACTTTTACTAGTATTTTCTATGACGTCGTTTGCGCTACCAGGCCGAGGCACATTTTTCCGTTCAAATCTAACATGGTTTGTTAATATCTTTTTCTTTTTTCACAGGTATATCACCAGCGTTGTCTAGGTGGCTGATTACACGAACTATGATGAACATCAGGTCCAGAGCTCTCAGAAAATCTGTCAAATCATAAACACGTCAATGAAGCAATCAAAGAACTGAGATATCCACCGTTGAGAAATGTGTACCAGAATTTTTACAATATTTATGATCTCAGCTTTATGAGGTTTTGCATTTAACGAAATTTTATCCCTTAGTGTTGATTTTTCATGCCATATTGTGGCCCGGCGCCATTTTGGGAGTCATATTACGTAGATTGATTTTCTCATAAACGTTGTTAATAGCATTTAATGTAGGATTTGTAATGTTACCACTTGAAATAAGTTATTTCTAAATACATCTTGTTGTCCACTTTGTCGTATTATTTACAGTCCTTGTTTCGTACTATTTGGCAACTCATCAGTATGGTCTCGACTCGGTCTCAGGAAAGACAGAAAATATAAGGCGGCCAAATTCGCGATAGGACAAACCAACATTAACCTAACAAAAATATACCTGATCTTTATGGTCAAGGATAATGAAAATTTTTTTAAACTAGTTTTTCTAAATCTCTAAGAAATATAGTATTGATTTTTTTGATATAATACAACAAGTATTAACTCCTAAAGACCTACTTAAAAGAGTGTCAACTATCTTATAGTATGAGCGTATTTTTCTGACTGCATCCGATTTTTTTTAATAGGACTTGTGACTATTTATTTTATATACTAACGATATTCCTGATATGTTACATTAATATATATATATACAGGGTGACTTTGAAGTTGAGTCATTAATTTTCAGATAATGATTGTAGAAGGAAGATAAACCAAAATATGTGTGTAAAAATAAAAAAAATTAAAAAAAAATGTTACCTTGTTTTATAAAGTATCCTCCCGACAAGTATTTCAGTGCGGACCTGTATTTGATCGTGCGGTCTTGGAGCACCGGCATGCCCTCTCCTGTGAGGTCTTAAGTCACCTGATTCACGAGCCCGTTGTACTACATTAACAAAGGCACGAGGGGTTGGTTACACTCGATTGGGAAACCGATCCGCACAAACATGTGCCATTTTTATTTCGTTTGAGCCACGCAACAGACACCACTATTCACTCACGCGTTACCGACTGACACTGACTGTATACAACTGAATAAAATAATTGTAAAAACATCGTTCCAAATTCTTTCGCTTTTTTGTTTCCGATGCGATGAACCGATAAGGCGGATTATATCCGTTGTTGCCAAACACGAGCACATAATATTATTATTGAGACAGGGCGGTACTCAAACTTCCAAAGGGCTATAACTTTGTTACTTTAATTTTACCAGAAAAATGGTAAAGGAAAAAAACATTTCTTTTGATCAGATCTACTCACTGTTAAAATAAATGACTCAACTTCGAAGTCACCCTGTATATATATATATTTACTATCAGCACCAACTTTTTTCTTAAGCTTAGCCAACCTAACCTGTTTCTTCAATATTTGGTTCACTTTTGCTAATTCCGTAAGAGTTCTCTTTATATACATTATTTGCTCTTCAATATTATCTTTCTTAATCTTCATAGGCTGTCTTTTGCCTTGAGCCATATGTGTACAGAGGTTCCATATGGAAGTTTTTACTTGGTCTGTCTCGCTCATGCGTTGGATAGCATTGTTCTTGATTTGAATTACAAGTTGTTCACTTTCTAGCGATTTTATGTTCGCATTTTCGTATCGAGCTTGTAGGTTGGCTATCTGGTTGTTCAGGCCCATTATTACAAAGCTCTTTTCTTCAATCAGCTTTCCCATATCGCTTTTCGGCATTTTCAAGCAATCTCAGATTTTTTTCTTGGAGCTGCGCCATGAAATTTTTTTCGCTCAGCAGAGCAAGATATCGGTTTATCATTTCCTGTACTGAAGTGAAATCCGAACAGTACTCTACGACCTGGTCCAGGTACTCTTCGTACACGTGGTAATCTTTCATTTTTGCGTCCATGTACAGTTTCGTCTGTTTTATTTCTCCAGTTTTTTGTTGGTAATCTTCGATTCCAGCTTGTTTCGCTGCAATCAGTATTTTGTCGTCTTTGATTTTCTTAACCGCCCTGCTGCGCTTATCTGCATTTTCTTTAATAAACTGATTTGTGCAATCATCAAGTGGCTTCACGACGTAATGCTCTAATGTTTTTTAAATAATTTTTAATCTGTTTTTAAGTTGTCTTGTCATATTTTATATAATTTTGACCATTGAACCATCTATCCAGCTCTCACCATGTTACTGGACGTTTCCCTCATCCTATACGTAAACAATAATTAGCAACATCCTCACATACTACTGTAAGTTGAGTCAATTTAAATTCATTTTACACTTTTGTTGCTACTGTTATCATTGTAATTGCAGCTCCTGATGATGATGGCAAAGTCCATTGAAAGCTAGAGAGAATTAAAAAAAGTATAAAGAGTCCTCTTTGCTTAAATTTTGTCGAAGTACCCAACAAAAGGCGGAAGCTTTAATTTTTCACATAACTGGTCTAGACGACAATGACCACGTCTCAAGTTATATATATATATATATATATCTTGTAGATCTTTAGATCAAAATACGATAAATCTTACAATTAATCATGAAAAAATTGTGTCAATCGAATCATTTAAATATTTGGGCATATACGTGGACAGTAAATTAAAATTTGAACGGCACTATATATATATTATTTCAAAAATATCCAAGAAAATAAATTACTTTTATAGAATTTCGCATTGCCTAAGCGTTTATTCTAAAAGAATTGTGTACAAATCTTTCTTCCTCATTTGTTATATTGTTATACTATTTTGTTCACTGCAAATAGAACTGTATTTTCAAAATTACAAATATTACAAAATAAAGCTATGAGAATCATCTTGAATAAAAATATACTAGAATAAATTTTATGCTGAAAGAACTACAACGGTTAGATATCAAAAATTTCATAGCCTACTTGGTTTTCATTTTCATATTCAAGTTAAAAAATCATCTTCTACCAAATCACCCAGAAAATTTTATTGTATTGAACAATGAGTGCCACAATTATTCTACTAGAGGAAGTATAGACTTTCATTTACAAAAATTGCAGTAGCAGTATAACGAGCAAGTCAGTATTTCAAAAGGGATTGTACGAATTTAATAAGTTAAGTAATGATATCAAGATGTGCGTCAGTTTGAAAATGTTCAAAGGGAGATTAAAAAAATCTCTCATGCAAAACCAGAATTGATATTAGTGAAATTTTGTATAAAAATATGTAGTCTTGAAGACATAATACATTTTGTGATATACTGTGTAATATTAATATAGTATCTTTATGAACTAAAACTTTTTTCTGCCGTACGCATAATGAAGGAGGATTCCGATTGAAAAACGCATCGACCGGAACTTGAGCCCGGCAAGAAAAAACAAAGACTGGCGCGTAGGTCGATTCTAAACACTGGAAACCGGAAGCGCATTATCCAATTGCGGACGGTTTCATTATTTTTAAGCGGGAACACGTGGCCTAACCGAAAATTCCGAACGAAGCGGACCGCAGATCGGTCTCGACGGGTTCTATTCAGTTTTTGTTGGAGCAAAGCGAATATGTCACCGCAATTACACCGCATTGTGCACCGCGCTATTTTTAAACCTGTCAATTCAATTGACGTGAAGGTAATGGGGAAAAGCGCTTTCTTTGCGTCGGCACTCCACCAAGTTTTCGATTACATGGTGATACATGACACATTTTTCAAATATGTTTGGGTGTGTACGAGCTTTGAGAAACGGTGTCAAGAAGATTGACTTTCCTCAATAAAACAGATATGGATAACATTGAAAAACATTGTTCTTCTATGCATTATCTAAAATGACAAATGAAAAGATAATAACATATCGAATGAATATCTATTTCATGGAAAGTGTTATCGACATTGTAAGATCAATTATTGACGGGAATAACGACCAATGTCTCATGAGATCAGATTATACAGTATATTCAGATAAGAGATAGACCGGACATAAACAAGACCACGTGATCATCGAACGCTGTAACATTCGGCAGGGACGTATTAAGAGTCACGCAGTACATATTTTAGATAGTAGATGCTGCTTTGCGTAACTTTGTAGTAAATTAGCACAATTCGATGTGTATACGATTGGTGATGGATATAGGATCGTGTGGGGGTGGGGTAAGAAATATATAATGATGTAAATATACATAAGGGTTTCAAAATTTTCGCTTCGATTTCCAGCTTCGGATGCCGCCTGATGTTTGGTGAAATACAGTCGAATATAATCTCAAAATGGCGTTTAAATTAGCCTAAATTAAAAATAATCGTATATCTCTTAAAATTGCTTTTAGAATATTGAGTAGTATATTTTTTGATTTCTAGGTAAATATGTAACCAAATTAAAACGTTCAAAACGTAAAAAATGTGCATGGTTGAACATTGTCAGAAAGTAGATTCTTGAATAGGTTTTGCCAAAATGGGTTCAAAAATGTCAATAATTAATTAAAAAATACAGTAGCTTTATAATTACTTATAACTTACCGAATTTGATGAACGACATCTTTTATTGGAAAGATGAGCTTGATGAGCTTTCATCATCGCTACTGCCTGAAGCACCAACGTCAATAATGAATGGCTCGACTTGTTCCTCTAAAATATTGTCCAGTTCCCACATTCTCTTTTCAACTTTGTCTTTCACGTGCTTAATACAGTTTTCCCATTTTTGCGCTGTTATTAATTCTAGTGCTTCTTTGAAAAGTCCTTTGAGGTCACAAAATTTAAAAGTTGTATTGTGCTTAGCTATATAATTTTTAACCTCTGCCCATATGAGCTCAATGGGATTGAGCTCGCAATGGTATGGAGGTAAACGGAGCACAGTTTTATTTTGACTTGCTGTAATGCATCATTCAGTGGGTTTAGAACAATAAACATTAATCGTCTCAACAGGATTATATCAAAAGTGAAATCAAATCAAGATAAGAGTGAGATTTTCTCTAAAAGAGTGCCCACTGAATTTTTTGGTATTATTGGAGCAAGAATATTAATCCTGTTTGCAATATGGCGAATTTCCAACAAAACTGAAGTGTTCTAGCGTAGCTCCCGTTTCCAAAGTTAAGAATTCTGAGTTGTTCACAAATATGCGGCCAATAAATGTTCTGCCAGATGCTGAAAAAGGTCTTAGAGGACTGGAGGAGATGTATGGACAATAGGAAACGTACAGCGACAGTGTTTTTGTACCTCAAAAAGACGTTCAAAACTATTGACAGGGATAAATTACTTAAAAAATTGATCACTATGGATTTAAAGGATTCAAAATCCTACAAAACTACTTAATTGACAGAAGTTAAAGAACCAAGCTCAAAAAATATTTCTGCTGGTGTACCACAAGGTAGTAAACTAGGACCACTACTATTTCTTTTATACATTAATGACATTTGTAATATTTCTATCTATTATTAAAATCTCGGTGATACTATACACATCTTACACATAATAACTCGTACATATTTTTCCTACACCAGCCATGGAAACAGAAATATGACAGATTTGCTTTATATATATACTATATATACTAAATCCGAACACCCAGTTTAAATGGTTTTATTTTAATAAAAGTTGGTGAATGTATTTATCTTACTGTAAATAACAAGTGAAAAAATTTTCAGCCTTATCAGTTGGACATTCCGGTTTTTATACTGCTTTTTTTTAATTCACTAACGCTCTAAAAATCAATATTTCAGCCGCAGTAAAGAATCAACGTTGGCGGATTTTGGTTCTTGACATCCTTTACGATCGGTTACGATGCCTAGAGTACGGAGACCTGTACGATTTCGTCAACTTAGTGAGTTTGATAGGGGCCGTATAGTGGGACTTCGGGAAGCTGGATTTTCTTTTCGGGCAATTGCAGTTAGAGTGCAAAGAAGTGTAGACACTGTGGTTAGGTGTTGTCAGGCATGGCTTCGAGAAGGCCGTACGCAAAGAGCAAGGGGCACTGGACGCCGCCGTAGAACAACAGACCGTGAAGATCGCCGCCTAAGACTATTGGCCTTAAGGGACCGTTTCTCCACTACCAGGTCCATTGCAAATGAATGGTTTGCAGAACACGGAAGACCTACCCTATCTTGACACCCTGCCAGATCCAACTTTCCAACAAGATAATGCCCGACCACATGTTGCAAAAGTCACAATAGACTTCTTTCAACATAATGATGTCACATTGTTACCATGGCCACCAAGATCTCCCGACTTATCCCCAATTGAGCACGTGTGGGATATGATGGGTAGGAGATTGCTCAATTTGCAACGTCCTCCTCAGACTCTAGAAGCACTTCGAGAGGAGTTGGTGGTTGCCTGGAATGAGATACCACAGGAGGACATTGACCACCTGATCAGAAGCATGCCTAGGCGCGTTGGAGAATGCGTAGCACATCAGGGTGCATCCACACATTCTTAAAGGTCAAAGCGCTTTAAAACAGTGCAATCATTTTGAAATTTTTATCATTTACTTATTATGCTTCATTAAGTACTTAAGTACATACAAAATTTTATTAAAATAAAACCATTTAAACTGGGTGTTCGGATTTATACGTCACTTAGTATAGATAGTTATAGATCCATCGTACCTAATCACGATTCGGTTTGGACTGCACAGCCTCCAACAAATAAGTATTAAGTATAGAGTCCATCTGGTAACAAATCCCTCTCCATCAATCCAAACCTATTTCCGAACGAAGAAAGATCTGGGCGCGCCATTGGCCTGAATAGAACCTCGCCACCCTTGAACCAGTTCGGGATGCATTCCTCAGACAAATAAAAAAGCTTTCTGGTGCTCACTTCCGCGAAAGTCTCAACTCCCGAATTTCCCAAAATCCGGAAGAGTCCGGTTCGCGGCGCCTCTCGCGTGTCCCATTGACCCAGTGACCTTCCTCCCTCTCTTTTCCTCCTATGAACCGATCCTACCCTACGGCAAAGTGTACAGACTAACGTTAGTAGCTTCACTCGGCGATCACAACTGTTTATACTAATGTGAACGAACTAGTTTAACAGAAAGAATCTTATTATTGTCAAACTAGCTGTGATGGAACGAACCAGCACGCGAAATGAGACGAAAAACAACCGTAAGCCAAAAGTTTGTATTACTGGCTGCTTGAAAGTTATAAAAAATTACAAATGCTGCTAGTTACGAGGGATGTGTTTTAAGTTTTGCATATGGAAATAAAACAACACGGTCGGTAGTTTTAAATGACTTTATTGTTTTTCGAAGTATTCTCCACGAAGATTAATACGCTCGAACCAATTTTCGAAGCACTTATTCCACTCAAAAGATCATTCATTGAGGCTCATGAAGAAACCAAAAACGTCCGATGAGCTGGCAACACCGCAATCCAGGTGACAAGAATTACAAGGTCAGCTGCCAAAACTTCTGTCTAGCCTGGGGTACCGACGGAGCCATTTCGAACGTCAAGGCGTCAATTTTCATTTGCATTTTTGCAACGATTTTTGGAAAAATTTCGCTACAGATAGTGTTATAGAGCCTAGTAGAGTATTGTCTTGGGTGGTCATGTTATCTTTACTCTTGCTACCTCTCTCCATAAAGGAAAACATATAAATAACCCGTCGGGCACAACTAATTCAGCATATTCAGTAATAATCTTCTCACATAGCAAATATCATTGATTTGATACACATGCAGACGAATACACAAAATCACGATCAGATGCAATCTTGCTACTAATCAAATCTCTTTCTTCTTTCACATCCTTTCAGAGATAAACACTGCAGACTACACGGCTTTCCGCAACCATCAACGCATGTCGGGTCGTTGAAGTAGCGTGGCAAACGTGCAATGAAGTATTTTTACACTAAAAACTCCCTAGTCTGCAAGATGACATTTTGTCGGTTGTTTGACTTTTTTTTAGTTTTTTTACATAATTCCCCCTGTCGATGGTAGATTGAGATGCAACGCTGTCACTGACACTATTCTTGTGTCAAATGGTTCGTTCGCGAACTAGTTCGTTTTAATGAGCGCGACCTATTAAACTAGTTCGCCGAAATGAACCAGAAAGCACATTACTATATAGTTTATACCGCACATCAAAATTCTCAAGAAACCACTTCAGACATATTCCACGGTAATGTCTACCTGATGGTCAAAAACTAAAGCTAATCCGTGTACGTAATTATAGACGTTCTACGCTTGACACTATATCTAAAACAAAACGTTGTTTTCGAGTAATGCTATGAATGTTGTATCTTTAATTTCATCAGTAAATTGACAGTCCACTTGCATACTTAGGTTGGTTATTTCATTAGTGACGACACCGACATGTTCCGCGGGATAGGAAGCTAGCTCACCATAAGGTTTCTGTGTGGTGTTTTGTATACGACTTTGAAGTTGAGTCATTAATTTTCAGATAATGATTGTAGAAGGAAGATAAACCAAAATATGTGTGTAAAAATTAAAAAAAAATTAAAAAAAAATGTTTACCTTGTTTTATAAAGTATCCTCCCGACAAGTATTTCAGTGCGGACCTGTATTTGATCGTGAGGTCCCTGTGAGGTCTTAAGTCACCTGATTCACGAGCCCGTTGTACTACATTAACAAAGGCACGAGGGGTTGGTTGCACTCGATTGGGAAACCGATCCGCATAAACATGTGCCATTTTTTATTTCGTTTGAGCCACGCAACAGATACCACTATTCACTGACACTGACTGTATACAAATGAATGAAATAATTGTAAAAACATCGTTCCAAATTCTTTCGCTTTTTTGTTTCCGATGCGATGAACCGATACAGCGGATTATATCCGTTGTCGCCAAACACGAGCACATAATATTATTATTGAGACAGGGCGGTACTCAAACTTCCAAAGGGCTATAACTTTGTTACTTTAATTTTACCAGAAAAATGGTAAAGGAAAAAACATTTCTTTTGATCAGATCTACTCACTGTTAAAATAAATGACTCAACTTCGAAGTCACCCTGTATATTCATTTAAAGAAGGAGACGGTACAGCCACACTTACAAAAGTAAATAAAATTCAACTTGCTGTTCTAAATAATTATTCAAAAAAACAATCTGTTCTAATAAAAATTACTAGCTTTTTTACACAGTACGTATGCCTGTAATATGTGTATCAGATTCTGAAAAAAATGCAAATTTCAAAATTACGTATAACTTTTTTAAACAAACACATTTTAAGCTTTTAACATGTTATTTATGCTACTTTTTTCATTAAAAAAAAAGTGTTTCTTTTAAGATGGTCAAACGCCTACGTGTCACAGCCCCGCCGAGTCCATTATAAGCGGGTTGCACTGTATTCATTTTAATCTGCATCCAACGCGATTATGCTAAAAAAATCAAGTTGGAAATGTTCTCACGTCGTCGATAAGTGGTTTTACTTTTGGTAGTCCGTATACTCTCGCATAAGCCACCCCTTCTACCGACGTTGCCGCTCCCGCCGAAATTCGCGAATCTGCTGAAAGCGACGTCGCGACGACAGTGTCGACGTCGTCGCGCTCCGCGTTCCACGGCTTGCTTGATATCGAGCGAAACCGTCAGAACCGAAACAACCGAACAGCGGTGCACGTCGTAAGACGGTGACTAGATTTTGTAGAGGTTCTCTTGTTACATTTATCTACGGCTCCGAGCGCGATAGAGTTTTGTGGATTATCCGGGGTTTATTATCTCCTGAAGAAGGAATAAAAACGTATTCTAAAAAAATAAGGTAAGTTTGGTATTTGATTCAGATTTTTGGCGTTTATCGTCGAAGAGTTTTTTCGAAATTTAGCGTACTTTCTATTAGAAGGAAAGGTACAATTTGATGTGACACAGCAGAGATCTGAGATGCTGCATCAAAAAACTTGAGAATAAAAGATGCACTCCAGGATTCAAGGTCAATTTTGAAAGAGATACAGTGTGGTTTTTCAGGTTTTGACTAAAATATGGTAATTAGAAAGATAACAAAAAATAGCACCAGCATGTGAAGCATACATGGTGTCCCAGATTCCTATAAAAAGCTTCCTTAGGGGCCCTCCAGATGGATATACATACCCCCAAAAGACGCAACTGGAAGCTGTTTCCCCATAAATAACTTCTGAAGACATTGTATAATTATTATTATTGTATCAACTTTTGTATTATTGTAAAGCCTGATCGTTAGGTTGACAAAATGCACTTTGTCTGATATTGATAATTTTTTTAGATGAAAATTTAAGCTGTCAAATTTTGTTTGATCTACACAAAGTCGTTCAAAAGTTATTTGAAAAAACAATACTCAGTAGTACATTGTACGTTAGCATTTTTACGGTAACTTGTCGCAGTGTTTTTAGAGTTCTCTTTGGATCCGAGAGATTTGTCACATGTTTTGGAAGCCGATGTATACAGGGTGATTCACAAGCCGTGACCAAAAATGAAAAAAATGAAACATCAAACACAGAACCGCATTTTAAGGGGATTTTGTATGTAACATTTTTTCCTCGAGAACTTCATTAAGTGGGCAATCTAGGAAAAAAAGGGAGGGGAATTATTTGCAGAAAATTGAAGATAAAATGCGAAAAATTGGGCGTACCGGAAAAAAAACAGTGGCGTACTATTGTTATTTTGAAAAATAATGCCACTAATCCCCTGAAAATGCAGTCCTGTGTATGGTGTTTTATTTGTGGTCACGACTTGCGGATCACCCTGTATTGGACAAGTACAAAAATGTCTGCTTTGTCCTTTCAGCTCTTTTCTATAAGCAAATACAACTATAATGCTGAAAAAAAAAACAGCTCGTATGTGAGAGGAATTTCGTCATATTCTTTTTATGGATCTTACGTATACCACATACGATACTGCTATTGCAAATATATATGCCTTGCAACGCGAAAGAGCACTTTGCAAATGTTACATCATTCTTCGACAATATTTGCCTTTCATCATCATCAAATGTCAAATGCGACATAAATACGAGAAAGTATCCATGCTACTGTTATTCTTAAAATACTCTTGTTCATATGCAGAAATTCGTATTTAACGTTTTATATTCTTCGATCATTTCAAGCTATAGTAAAAAGAGGGTTTGCGTAGGTAACATATCAATGTGGTTTTACTTAACGTCCAGAAGTTATATTGTATTAACATCATCAAATTTGCAGTTACGCGGGATAATCGAAAATGCTAGGAATATGCTGAGTTAGTCTACTCGATCTTTTGCTAAATATAGTCATGTACTTGTAGTGGTATATGATATTCTTAAAAACGATACCCTGGACACTGGTTTCATGTTCTATATTTTTTAGTAACAATACATTTGGTATCATATATTACACTGGTAAGAAAATATATATTGTACTTTGTCAGCAATATTTATTTCCTCATTACGGCATTAAAGGATATAAAGAGAAATATCAGGTTACGAAACGTAAAGCTTTATATTTTTGGGAACCATTTCACTAGTAGCAAAAAGTTTGTTTAAAATCTATGAAAGGAGATCTATAGTCTTTCCAGATTTCCACATGTCCTAAAGGTATAAATCAGGTCAGATAAAGACAGAAGTCTTGATTTTAGAACTACTGGCCTTAGCGAAGCATGATTCGGAAACGTTTTCCGATAATGATTCCACGAGATTCGAACCTTTGTTAATAAATGACTGAACGCCCTGTATAATAGCAATGACTGTATCCGATTAGAGTCGTAGTAAAACCAGATTAATTTATTTTGGTCTTTATCTGCGAATGTTTCCGCCCACTAATCAAACCAGATGTTGATGTCGATTTGAAATTTGACCAAGTAAATAACTGCCAGTAAAAACATGTGCAAACTGTGGACACGCTCCTCAAACATTGACCTACTTTTGAATAATCGACCACTTAAAAAACACAATATGTATACAACAACAGGCTTCCGCGTTTATTTATAAGTTGCATCAGCTGTTGTAATGCATTTATCGTATTATGCAAATGACCATTACATTTAGTCATTTGTCAGGTTACTTTGGGATCAAGCTGCAGAAACGTTGCTTCGGAAAATTAAATGGAGGCCAAATGCTTTCATGCTTAATTTAATTTAGAAAAGGTTTTCTTAAAATCTTCGATTAACCAACTTGTATTTATACTAAGTGACATATAAATCCGAACACCCAGTTTAAATGGTTTTATTTTAATAAAATTTTGTATAAGTACTTAATGAAGCATAATAAGTAAATGATGAAAATTTCAAAATGATTACACTGCTTTAAAGACCTTTAATAATGTGTGGATGCACCCTGATGTGCTACGCATTCTCCAACGCGCCTAGGCATGCTTCTGATCAGGTGGTCAATGTCCTCCTGTGGTATCTCATTCCAGGCAACCACCAACTCCTCTCGAAGTGCTTCTAGAGTCTGAGGAGGACGTTGCAAATTGAGCAATCTCCTACCCATCACATCCCACACGTGCTCAATTGGGGATAAGTCGGGAGATCTTGGTGGCCATGGTAACAATGTGACATGATTATGTTGAAAGAAGTCTATTGTGACTCTTGCAACATGTGGTCGGGCATTATCTTGTTGGAAAGTTGGATCTGGGTGTCAAGATAGGGAAGATGTGGTTCTAGAACTTCGTGGATATAACGCTGCGCGTTCATGTTACCTCTGATGAAGATTAAAGGTGACCTGGAACCATGAGCTATAGCACAAGAAACCATAACTCCAACAGTGTGATGAACATGTCTTTCAACAAAAAACTGTGGATTCCTCCTTTCACCACGTCGCCTTCTAACCCTGGCACGACCATCGTGCATGCCTAAACAAAATCGAGACTCGTCACTAAAGACAATACTGTTCCATTCCTGATCCCAGAGTGACCGTTGTCTGCTCCACTCAAGGCGATTACGTCGGTGTTCTCGAGTTAAAGGGCGGACCCAGTGTGGCCGGTATAAAAACAAGCCAAAACTTCTCATTCGTCGGTAAACACTTCGCATGCCAATAGGTCTTCCGTGTTCTGCAAACCATTCATTTGCAATGGACCTGGTAGTGGAGAAACGGTCCCTTAAGGCCAATAATCTTAGGCGGCGATCTTCACGGTCTGTTGTTCTACGGCGGCGTCCAGTGCCCCTTGCTCTTTGCGTACGGCCATCTCGAAGCCATGCCTGACAACACTTAACCACAGTGTCTACACTTCTTTGCACTCTAACTGCAATTGCCCGAAAAGAAAGTCCAGCTTCCCGAAGTCCCACTATACGGCCCCTATCAAACTCACTAAGTTGACGAAATCGTACAGGTCTCCGTACTCTAGGCATCGTAACCGATCGTAAAGGATGTCAAGAACCAAAATCCGCCAACGTTGATTCTTTACTGCGGCTGAAATATTCATTTTTAGAGCGTTAGTGAATTAAAAAAAGCAGTATAAAAACCGGAATGTCCAACTGATAAGGCTGGAAATTTTTTCACTTGTTATTTACAGTAAGATAAATACATTCACCAACTTTTATTAAAATAAAACCATTTAAACTGGATGTTCGGATTTATATGTCACTTAGTATACATAAAGAGCTTATTATTATTAATATCATCAGCGTTTCTTCAGTTTTTAAGTACCAGGCAGTGCCTTCTTATAGAGAACAGGCGACAATGTTAATGTGCTTTTTATTTTGAAATAATGTCTCAAATAAAGTCAGTGAAAAATCTAAACGATTTTGAGAAAATTCAGTTTCTTTCCGTCTCTTTCCGGAAAAAACTCCGAATTTGTTAAGCGGCATTTTCTTCGTTACCTAAACACGATACTTTGTTGAATTTGAAATAGCCGGTATAATCGATATCAAAATATTTACCCAACAACAACAAAAAAATGTATCATCCTGTCGAATTTTCTTTCGCTTTAATTTGAAAGCTGTTAAATGCAATCATATTTTGAACGGTCTGACTCTGCAAGTAGGTACTTAAACTTGAGCATATCGACGTCACTTCTAACAACCTTAAAAATTTGTAACACCCACTCAGTGCACATGGCGCCTGAACTACGTTTCTTTCGCAACACATAATAAATGATTACAAGAACCTTGATTCCGGCAATAAAACAGTTTAATCTGCTTAATATCGATACGAAGATGATTCAATAAGATATTTTTAAAAGTGCACACCTCCAGTATGCTGTTTACGACACGCGCAGTCCGTAAAACGGACGTATCTAGGTATGATGTAATGACCCAAAATGATTCGGACACGTGCAAGGTCGATTTTTCTTATTTTTATTGAATTTTAAACGTTGACAGTTGCGATTTATTACGTAAATTGCTACAGAGAGATTAACAAAGCACTATGTTTATGGTTTTCTTATGAAGATTTAAATAAAACCTTTTTATGTTTTGTGGTCTTTTAGCAAAATTATGCAACGCATGTAAACATTATGCTAGCTCTTTTTTATAATCCTTAAAATTCATGAATATGTAACACCTGAATAGAAATTATAAATGGCTTTCACATAAAGTCGGCGACAAAACTTAATTGCGTAATTAAATAGTGGAATATGGTAATAAATGTTTCATTTTTATTGTGTAACAACGTGTCGCGCATACGAAAGGCCTGCATGGTACGTCTCCGTTCATAATGACCTTGACCTAAGAGACTAAATAGATTCAAACTAATCATACTAAAACAGAATCCTCTATTGCTTTAGCCAGTTACCGTACCCCTACTGAGCGAGGGCCGTGGCAAATGCTTGTTCCGGAAGTTGTTGTATCCAGTATACAACTTCTTCCCGTCCAAGT